ATACTATTGCTGACAAAATCAGTGATAGCGACATTCAATCTCAAACTTCCACTGAGCAAGTGTCAAGTATGAAAGAAAGAGAAAAGGAACATACCACCAAAAAAGAAAGAAAGATATTAACGGAAAGAGATGTGGTACCAACAGATGAAAAGAGACCAAGAGATTCAGGTTTGATAACCTTCAAGCTAGGTGTCGAAGGCACCTCAGAATACAAAACAATAATGGACAATCTATCGGATCAACCCGTTATATCAAGTGATACCACTTCACTTCATGAACAGTATAAAGATGAAGATGGCAAAGTCTTTTTAAGTGATACTCAAGATGTCCCCAAACAATACAGCGAAGAAAATGTACATGTTGAACCTCATTCTTTAGCTGGACAAATAACCGATAGCAAACATCTATCCCAAACTGTTACTAAGCAAAAAACAGGTAGTAAAGAAAAGGAAAAAACTCATATCTCCACTTCAGACAAAAAGATGTCAATGAAAAGATATATGCTATCGATTGACGACATGAAGGCAAGAGCTGAACGTTTAATGACCCCAACGCATGCTGTCGACACAACTAAGGAATACAAAACTACAGCAGTAAGTTTATCGGATGAACCCGTTGTATCAGGTGACACAAGTTTATTTGATGACGGTTCTGAAGATAAAATAATAAAGGTCATTTTAATTGATTCTAAAGAAAACCATAAAAAATATAGCAAAGAAAATGTAAATATTAAGCCTCATACTATTGCTGGCAAAATTACCGATAGCAAATATCTATCCCAAACTGCTACTAAGCAAACAACAGGTATTAAAGAAAAGGAAAAAACTCATATCTCCACTTCAGACAAAAAGATGTCAATGAAAAAATATATGCTATCTATTGATGACATGAAGGCAAGAGCTGAACGTTTAATGACCCCAACGCATTCAGTCGATACTACCAAGGAATACAAAACTACAACAATCAATTTATCTGGTGAACCCGTTTTATCAAGTGATACCAGTTCATTTCATGAACATTATAAAGATGACCAGGAAAGGTACAGCCAAGAAAATGTAAATATTGAACCTCATATTATTGCTGACAAAATCAGTGATAGCGACATTCAATCTCAAACTTCCACTGAGCAAGTGTCAAGTATTAAAGAAAGAGAAAAGGAACATACCACCAAAAAAGAAAGAAAGATATTAACGGAAAGAGATGTGGTACCAACAGATGAAAGGAGACCAAGAGATTCAGGTTTGATAACCTTCAAGCTAGGTGTCGAAGGCACCTCAGAATACAAAACAATAAAGGACAATCTATCGGATCAACACGTAATATCAAGTGATACCATTTCACTTAATGAACAGTATAAAGATGAAGATGTCAAAGTCTTTTTAAGTGATACTCAAGATGTCCCCAAACAATACAGCGAACAAAATGTAAATGTTGAACCTCATTCTTCAGCAGGACAAATAACCGATAGCGAACATCTATCCCAAACTGTTACTAAGCAAAAAACAGGTATTGAAGATAAGGAAAAAACTCATATCTCCAATTCAGACAAAAAGGTGTTAATGAAAAGATATATACTATCGATTGACGACATGAGGGCAATAGCTGAACGTTTAATGACCCCAACGCATTCAGTCGATACTACCAAGGAATACAAAACTACAACAGTCAATTTATCTGATGAACCCGTTGTATCAAGTGATACCAGTTCATTTCATGAACATTATAAAGATGACCAGGAAAGGTATGCTGACAAAATCAGTGATAGCGACATTCAATCTCAGACTTCCATTGAGCAAGTGTCAAGTATTAAAGAAAGAGAAAAGACACATACCTCCACAAAAGACAGAAAGGTATTAACGAAAAGAGATATGGTACCAACAGATGAAAAGAGACCAAGAGATTCAGGTTTGATAACCTTCAAGCTAGCTGCTGAAGGCACCTCTGAATACAAGACAATAATGGACAATCTATTCGATCAACCCGTTATATCAAGTGATACCATTTCACTTCATCAACAGTATAAAGATGAAGATGCCAAAGTCTTTTTATGTGATACTCAAGATGTCCACCAACAATACAGCGAAGAAAATGTAAATGTTGAACCTCATTCTTCAGCTGGACGAATAACTGATAGCGAACATCTATCCCAAACTGCTACTAAACAAACAACAGGTATTAAAGATAAGGGAAAAACTCTTATCTCCACTTCAGACAAAAAGATGTCAATGAAAAGATATATGCTATCGATTGACGACATGAAGGCAAGAGCTGAACGTTTAATGACCCCAACGCATTCAGTCGATACTACCAAGGAATACAAAACTAGAACAGTCAATTTATCTGATGAACCCATTGTAATAAGTGATACCCGTTCATTTCATGAACATTATAAAGATTACCAGGAAAGGTACAGCCAAACAAATGTAAATATTGAACCTCCTATGATTGCTGACAAAATCAGTGATAGCGACATCCAATCTCAAACTTCCACTGAGCAAGTGTCAAGTATTAAAGAAAGAGGGAAGGCATATACCTTCACAAAAGACAGAAAGATATTAACGAAAAGAGATATGGTACCAACAGATGAAAGGAGACCAAGAGATTCAGGTTTGGTAACCTCGAAGCTTCCAGTCGAAGGCACCTCTGAATACAAAACAAAAATGGACAATCTATCGGATCAACCTGTTATATCAAGTGATACCAGTTCAATTGATGAACGGTATAAAGATGAAGATGCAAAAGTCTTTTTACGTGATACTCAAGATGTCCCCAAACAATACAGCGAAGAAAATGTAAATGTTGAACTTCATTCTTCAGCTGGACAAATAACCGATAGCAAACATCTATCCCAAACTGTTACTAAGAAAACAACAGGTATTACAGAAAAGGAAAAAACTCATATCTCCACTTCAGACAAAAAGATGTCAATGAAAAGATATATGCTATCGATTGACGACATGAAGGCAAGAGCTGAACGTTTCATGACCCCAACGCATTCAGTCGATACTACCAAGGAATACAAAACTAGAACAGTCAATTTATCTGATGAACCCATTGTAATAAGTGATACCCGTTCATTTCATGAACATTATAAAGATTACCAGGAAAGGTACAGCCAAACAAATGTAAATATTGAACCTCCTATGATTGCTGACAAAATCAGTGATAGCGACATCCAATCTCAAACTTCCACTGAGCAAGTGTCAAGTATTAAAGAAAGAGGGAAGGCATATACCTTCACAAAAGACAAAAAGATATTAACGAAAAGAGATATGGTACCAACAGATGAAAGGAGACCAAGAGATTCAGGTTTGGTAACCTCGAAGCTTCCAGTCGAAGGCACCTCTGAATACAAAACAAAAATGGACAATCTATCGGATCAACCTGTTATATCAAGTGATACCAGTTCAATTGATGAACGGTATAAAGATGAAGATGCAAAAGTCTTTTCAAGTAAAACTCAAGATGTCCACCAACATTTCAGCGAAGAAAATGTAAAAGTTGAACCTCATTCTTCAGCTGAACAAATAACCTATAGCGAACATATATTTCAAACTGCTACTAAGCAAGCCTCAGATATTAAAGAAAAGGAAAAAACTCATATCTCCACTTCAAACAAAAATACTACAATGAAAAGATATATGCTATCGGTTGATGACATGAAGGCAAGAGTTGCAGGTTCAATGACTCCAACGCATTCAGTCGATACTACCAAGGAATACAAAACTACAACAGTCAATTTATCTGATGAACCCGTTGTATCACGTGATACCAGTCTACTTCATGAAGGTTTTAAAAATAAAATACAAAAGGTCATTGTAAGTGATTCTAAAGATGACCAGAAAAGATATAGCAAAGAAAATGTAAATATTAAACATCATACTATTACCGGCAAAATTATCGATAGCGTCAAGCAATCTCAAACTTCTTCTACGAAAAGCACAAGTATTGGAGAAAGAGAAAAAGCAAATTCCTCCAAAATAGACATAGAGATATTGAAGAAAAGTGATATCGTACCAATAGATCAAAAGAAAGCAAGAGATTCATGTCCGATAACCTCCGATGACACCGCTGAATACAACACAATAATGGACAATATTTTGGATAAAGACGTTATATCAAGTGACACCAGTTCATTTCATGAAGATTATAAAGATTTCCAGGAAAGGTACAGGAAAGAAAATTTAAATATTGAACATCATACTATTCCTGGAAAAATTCTCGACAGCGACAATCAATTTCAAACTTCTACCGAGCAAATAACAAGTATTGCAGAAAGAAAAATAGCACATGCCACAACAATAGACAGAAAGATATTAATGAAAGGAGAAATGGTATCAACAGATGAAAAGAAAGCAAGGGATTCAGGTTTGGTAACCTCCAAGCAAGCTGTCGATGACACCGCTGCATACAACGAAAAAATGGACAATTTATCGGACGAACACGTTATATCAAGTGATACCAGTTCACTTCGTCAGGATTATAAAGGTGACCAGGAAAATTACAGGAAAGAAAATGTAAAAACTGAACATTACACTATTGCTGGCGAAATTGCCGATGGCGACAATCAATTTCAAACTTCTACTGAACAAATAACAAGTATTCAAGAAAAGGAAAAAACACATACCTCCAGAATAGACAGAAAGATATTAACAAAAAGGGATACGGTACCAATAGACGAAAACAAAGCAAGAGATTCAGGTTTGGTAACCTCTAAACAAGCAGTAGCTGACACCGCTGAATACAACACAATAATGAACAATATATCGGATGAAATAGTTATATCAAGTGATACCAGTTCACTTCATGAAGATAATAAAGATGACCAGGAAAGGTACAGGAAAGAAAGTGTAAAAATTAAACATCACACTTTTTCTGACAAAATTCCCGATATCGACCACCAAACTCATTCTTCTACTGAGCAAATAACATGTATTGAAGAAAGGGCAAAGGAGGTACCTGCCTCCACAATAGACAAAACGATATTAACGAAAAGGGATATGGTACCAAAAGATGAAAAGAAAGCAAGAGATTCAGGTTTGATAACCCCAAAGCAAGCTTTTGATGACACTGCTGAAAACAACAGAAGAATGGACAAGATTACGACTGAACCCGAAATATCAAGCGATACCAGCTCACTTTATAAAGATTATAAAGATGACCAGGAAATGTACAGCCAAGAAAATGTAAATATTGAACCTTATACTATTGCTGACAAAATCACTGATAGAGACATTCAATCTCAAATTTCCACTGAGAAAGTGTCAAGTATAAAAGAAAGAGAAAAGGCCCATACCTCCACAAAAGACAGAAAGATATTAACAAAAAGAGATATGATACCAATATATGAAAAGAAAGCAAGAGATTCAGGTTTGATAATCTCAAAGCAAACTTTCGATGACACTACTGAATACAACACAATAATGGACAATATTTCGGATGATGCAGTTATACTAAGTGATACCAGTTTATTTTACGAAGATTATAAAGATGATCAGAAAAAGTACAGCGCAGAAAATGCAAATATTGCACCTAAAACTATTGTTGACAAAATTACCGCTAGTGACATTCAATCTCAAACTTCTACTAAGCAAATAAGAAGTATTGAAGAAAGACAAAAAGTTCATACCTCCATAATAGACAGAATGCTATCAACGAAAATCGATATGAAATCATTATATGACAAGAAAGCAATAGATTCAGGATTGATAACCTCAAAGCAAGCTATCGATGACACAGCTAAATACAACACAATAATGGACAATATATCGGATGAACCTGTTGTATCAAGTGATACCAGTTCATTTCATGAAGATTATAAAGATGACCAGGAAAGGCACAGCCAAGAAAATGTAAATATTGAACCTCATACTATTGCTGACAAAATTACCGATAGAGACATTCAATCCCAAACTTCCACTGAGCGAGTGTCAAGTATAAAAGAAAGAGAAAAGGCACATACTTCCACAAAAGACAGAAAGATATTAACGACAAGAGATAATGAACCAACAGATGAAAAGAAAGCAAGAGATTCACGTTTGATAACATCAAAACAAGCTGTCGATGACACTGCTGAATACAACAGAAAAATGGACAAAATTACTGATGAACCCGTTGTATCAAGCGATACCAGTTCACTTTATGATCGTTATAAAGGAGACCAGGAAAGGTACAGCGAGGTAAATGTCAATATTGAACCTCACATTATTGCTGGCACTATTCCCGATAGCGAAAATCAATTTAAAAATTTTACTAAGCAAATAAAAAGTATTAAAGAAAGAGAAAAAGCCCATACATTCACAATAGACAGAAAGATATTAACAAAAAGAGATATGATACCAATATATGAAAAGAAAGCAAGAGATTCAGGTTTGATAATCTCAAAGCAAACTTTCGATGACACAACTGAATACAGCACAATAATGGACAATATTTCGGATCATCCGGTTATACGAAGTGATACCAGTTTATTTTACGAAGATTATAAAGATGATCAGATAAGGTACAGAACAGAAAATGCAAATATTGCACCTAAAACTATTGCTGACAAAATTACCGCTAGTGACATTCAATCTCAAACTTCTACTAAGCAAATAAGAAGTATTGAAGAAAGACCAAAAGTTCATAGCTCCATAATAGACAGAATGCTATCAACGAAAATCGATATGAAATCATTATATGACAAGAAAGCAATAGATTCAGGTTTGATAACCTCAAAGCAAGCTATCCATGATACAGCTAAATACAACACAATAATGGACAATATATCGGACGAACCTGTTGTATCAAGTGATACCAGTTCATTTCATGAAGATTATAAAGATGACCAGGAAAGGCACAGCCAAGAAAATGTAAATATTGAACCTCATAATATTGCTGACAAAATTACCGATAGAGACATTCAATCCCAAACTTTCACTGAGCGAGTGTCAAGTATAAAAGAAAGAGAAAAGGCACATACTTCCACAAAAGACAGAAAGATATCAACGACAAGAGATAATGAACCAACAGATGAAAAGAGAGCAAGAGATTCACGTTTGATAACATCAAAACAAGCTGTCGATGACACTGCTGAATACAACAGAAAAATGGACAAAATTACGGATGAACCCGTAATATCAAGCGTTACCAGTTCACTTTATGAACATTATAAAGATGACCAGGAAAGGTACAGCGAAGTAAATGTCAATATTGAACCTCACACTATTGCTGGCAAAATTCCCGATAGCGAAAATCAATTTAAAAAATTTACTGAGCAAATAACAAGTATTAAAGAAAGAGAAAAAGCTCATACATCCACAATAGACAGAAAGATATTAACAAAAAGAGATATGATACCAATATATGAAAAAAAAGCAAGAGATTCAGGTTTGATAATCTCAAAGCAAACTTTCGATGACACTACTGAATACAGCACAATAATGGACAATATTTCGGATCATCCGGTTATACGAAGTGATACCAGTTTATTTTACGAAGATTATAAAGATGATCAGAAAAGGTACAGCGCAGAAAATGCAAATATTGCACCTAGTACTATTGCTGACAAAATTACCGATAGTGACGTTCAATCTGAAACTCCTACTCAGCAAATAAGAAGTATTAAAGAAAGACAAAAAGTTCATTCCTCCGCAATAGACAGAATGATATCAAAGGAAATCGATATGGAACCATTATATGACAAGAAAGCAAGAGCTTCAGGTTTGATAACCTCAAAGCAAGCTGTCGATGACACCGCTGAATACAAGACAATAATGGACAATATATCGGATGAACCCGTTGTATCTAGTGCTGCTGAATACAACAGAAAAATGGACAAAATTACTGATGAACCCGTTGTATCAAGCGATACCAGTTCACTTTATGAACGTTATAAAGATGACCAGGAAAGGTACAGCGAGGTAAATGTCAATATTGAACCTCACATTATTGCTGGCAAAATTCCCGATAGCGAAAATCAATTTAAAACTTTTACTGAGCAAATAACAAGTAGTAAAGAAAGAGAAAAAGCTCATACATCCACAATAGACAGAAAGATATTAACAAAAAGAGATATGATACCAATATATGAAAAGAAAGCAAGAGATTCAGGTTTGATAATCTCAAAGCAAACTTTCGATGACACTACTGAATACAGCACAATAATGGACAATATTTCGGATCATCCGGTTATACTAAGTGATACCAGTTTATTTTACGAAGATTATAAAGATGATCAGAAAAGGTACAGCCTTAAAAATGCAACTATTGTACCTCGTACTGTTGTTGACAAAATTACCGATAGTGACATTCAATCTCAAACTTCTACTAAACAAATAAGAAGTATTGAAGAAAGACAAAAAGTTCATACCTCCACAATAGACAGAATGGTATCAACGAAAATCGATATGGATCCATTATATGACAAGAAAGCAAGAGATTCAGGTTTGATAACCTCAAAGCAAGCTTTTGATGACACTGCTGAATACAACAGAAAAATGGACAAAATTACGGATGAACCCGTAATATCAAGCGATACCAGTTCACTTTATGAAGATTATAAAGATGACCAGGAAAGGTACAGCCAAGAAAATGTAAATATTGAACATTATACTATTACTGACAAAACTACCGATAGCCACTCTCAAACGTCTACTGAGCAAATAACAAGTATGAAAGAAAGAGAAAAGGCTCATGCCACCACAATAGACAGAAAGATATTAATGAAAGGAGATATGGTAACAAAAAAGGAAATGAATTCAAAATCTCCACGTTTAATAACAAAAAGGGTGGCTGTCAATAATACCGATGAATACACCTCCATAAAGAAAAATACTAAAACTAATGTAAGTGATACTGAAACTGACCAGAAAAGGCATACCGAAGTAAATATCAATCTTAAACGCCATACTACTATTGGCCAAATAACGGATAGCGACAATCAAAATGAACCTGTCACTGAAAAAATGATGAGCATTAAAGAGAGAATAAAAGCTCTTAACTCGATCCCTGTAGACAGAAAGACAGTAACGAAAAGAAATATATTATCAAGAGACGAAAAGAAAGCAAGAGATCCATGTTTGATTACACCAAAGCAAGCTGTCAATTACATGAATGAAAACAATACTCTAACGGCCATTATTACGGATGAACCCGTTATGTCAAGTGGTAAAAGTGTAATTGATAAAGATGACAAGAAATACTACGGTGAAGAAAATGTGAATCTTGGTCCTCATACGTTTTCCGGTAAACTAAGCGATAGCGTCAATCAATCTCTAACTTCCACTGAGAAAATAACAAGCAATAATGAAAGAATTAAGGCTCTTACTTCCACTGCAGACAGAATGATATTATCGAAAAGAGATATTGTATTAATAGACGAAAAGAAGGCAAGAACTCCACGTGTGATAACCCGAGAGCAACCTGACGTAAACACCACTAAATACAACACTGCAACAGTCAATATATCTAATGAACCCATGATATCAAGTGATAATAGTTCACTCTATGAAGACTTTAAAGATGCAAATGCAAAAGCCATTGTAAGAGATGATAAAATTGACCAGAAATACTACAGCGAAGGAAACGTCAATCTTGAAACTCTTACCTTTGCCCATCAAATTACCGATAGCGACAACCAATCTCAAATGAGAACTAGGCAATTACCAAGCATTAAAGAAAGAATAAAAGCTCTTACTTCCACTGTAGACAGAAAGTCTTTAACCAAAACAGATATGGTATTCATAGACGAAAAGAAGGCAAGACCTCCCGGTTTGATGACACTAAAGCAAGCTTTCGATATAAACAAGGAATACAAAAGTGCAATGGTCAATATATCGGATGAACCCGTTATATCAAGTGATAGCAGGTCATTCCATAAAGGTTTTAAGATTGAAAATACAAAAGGCATTGTAGGTGATACTAAAGATGACCAGAAATACGTCAGCAAAGAAAATATTAATTTTCAACCTCATACTTCTTATTTCCAAATTACCGATAGCGACAATCAATCTCAAACTTTCACTGAGAGAATTACTAACAAAGACGAAAGAAATAAAGCTCATACCTCCGCTGTTGATATAAGCACATTAACGAAAAGGGATATTGTATCAATAGAAGAAATGAAGACACGAGCTCCTTCAAAATTTCTATGTATAAACGTTCAAGCTGCTTCTGAGAAACGTAAAAGAAATGAAGATAATGATAACGTGGCCCAAAAAGAAATTTCAGAATTGAATTTAGGAATAGGTATTGAATCGTCATGTGAAAAATTGAAAGAAAAACCTTTTGAAAAAATTGGCACCAGTCTTTTTGAAAACGACCATGAAACTGGTAATACTTGTCTAGAGAAAGAAGTCGATTATGTAACCTCGTCCTACTTAGAAAAAACTAAAGCATCCAAACAGTTGTCTAAAATTGACAGTGAGGTTGCAAACGACAATGTTTTATCAAATCAGATGTTCAAATCACTTACATGGGCAAAGAAAACAGATGAACCATCAGTCAATAATATTACTAAGACAGGAATAAAGTCAAACACAAGAAATATAAACGAGTTGGTTGAGGACGATTCGTTTCACAATCTTGCCATGAAGTTAGGTTTTAGTCCAGAATCAAACTATCAGTCCAGAGGTCAATTACAGTGCGATCCCTCGTTTGAACAGCTTGTTCAAGATATAGAAACCTATTGGAGCAAATATGGGGTTCCAGTGGAACAGGCCAATAGAATTAGATATGCTCTTCACGAAAGGGATTCTCGTGAAGCTTTAATTGATACCCTTGTTACCGATTTTCAAAATCTTATTTCTGATACAAATGAAATTTGTAGTGACCGATCGTTTGATAAACTTGCAGAAGATGTCGACCAAGTAGTCAGTAGCGATGGTTCACTCGACAGTCTAGTTGCGAAGGCGCTAGTTCCAACAGAAACATTAATAAGAACAAAGGGATTTAAGAAATCTACTGTACTATGTGATTTAAATGAAGATAATAAGTATCCATTTCAATTTATCGAAAGAAGACGAGAACCTAACTATATAAAACAATATCGCGCTTCATTGGAAAACATTTTGCCTTTAGTGAGTAGGCTTGCAGCATTGAATGCTACACAGATTCCATCAAAGATTTTAAACAAACCGTCTTATGATAAACTTCAAACTACAGTTGATAATCTGGCAAAGAGATTTACAGAGTATACTGAAAAAGAGACAGAAGGTACACAAAATAAATCGTACCAGTGTTTAGATGTCAATGTTGAATCTTTATCCGAACGATTTACAGAAAAGGACGACAACACTGGATACCTTTCAAACTATCAAAAGCAACGATACCTATCTACAAAGCAGAAAAAACCGGTGGTAAGTCCAAAACATGAAAACGCACGCTGGAAAAGCACAAAGAGGAATGAAAATGATACGGAATTAGATCTGCTATTAGAAACAGAAAGAAGAAAAGCAAGACAATTGGTCAAAAAAGAGATACCAATTGAAAGGAGCAATACGAAACAAGAAGCTGATTTGAATCCGAAGGGATATTTTGAATTTGGTAAAGGAATGTCATGTGCCGTACATGATCAAGAAAACCTGCAAAGATCTTTTGAACATATCAATATTAAAGTGGATTCCATAGCGAAAGATTTCACGCAGGGGAATAGTAAGTTAGCCGAAAAACCACTGAAAACTATTCATAGTTTGAAAGATTTGAACATTGGAGTGCCTGCGTTGATAGAGACATTCGATGCCAATAAAGACGAGACTGTGAAAATTTTGCCAGATCCCTATCATAAGGATTCTAAATTGAAGAACATTATAACAACCCCTAGAGGTTTTTCTGCTTAATCATGTGGCAATTTTGTGTACATAATATTGAGTATAATAAATGTAATTGCATCAGATGAAGTTAGTTTCAAAAGGTCCCATTTCCCCGCTCTTTTTTCAAGCAGTCGATGAACCATGGAAATGAGGTCAAAGACAACGGACATATGACAGACGGAAGCTTCGTAACACTATTTTGGTTACATTTAAAGTTTCACAAAAGTACGAGCAATTGCCTATTTACGTACAGCTTATCTTTTATCTAAGAAAACAACACAACAACACAAGTCACCCAAAATAGACATCCATAGGTCACTTGTTATTGCCGTGGCTGATCCAGGGGGGGGGGGGGGGGGAATCCCCCTTTATTTTGACGATCAATGCATTTGAATGGCTGGATCCGCCCTGTTTATTTGCCAAGCGCCCACACAATATAATATGATCTAAATCGCCCAAATATACACAATTCGGGAAAAAAATTACCGTGGATTCATTTAATTTCGTGGATTGAGGAAAAAATTGTATTTGCGTGGGTATTACATTTTGTGGTTTTGCCGAAGGCTGCATATAAGCCTATATGAAATCTGTAGTTCGTTGAACATTTAAATTTTTGGTTCACATATACCCAGGAATTCCATGAAAATTGGTATCCCACGAATAATGATGAATCCACAGTAACAGAAACAACCAATATGCTTGACGTTAACTATTTCTTATTGAAAAGAAGGTTTTGAACTTTGAAGTGGAGTACAATATGTAAAATGGTTAAAACTTTTAACTTTTGTACTATATCTTCCAGTTATTACATCAATCAGTGGAGCAAATAACAATACAATCTGTATTTTGAATACTATAAAAAAAAAAGTAAGGAGATGTGGTATGAATGCCAATGAGACTACTATCCAACAAAGTTCAATTGAAGTTGATATAAGCATGCAATTATAGGCCACTGTACGGCCTTCAACCAGGAGAAAAAACCCATACCGTATAGTCGGCTATAAAAGGCCCGGACATGAGAAAAATGGGAAACAATTCAAACGAGAAAACTAATAGCCTAATTTATAACAAAACATTGACGACAATGACAGCACAACATAAGAACAACCTATAAACATCAGTTGCAATTGGCTTCACTCGAAAGATCGGTACGAGGCACAAAAACAACAAACATAAAAACAATAGACACAACGCATCGAAATAAGAGTATTCGCAGCTACTGAAAGCTAGTTCAAAGCTTATTTCAACTGATAAATAAACCATTTTCTACCTGACTAAAGTATCAAACAATACACATCGAACAGATTTAGTGTAGAGTCTGGGAAACGCATGCCCTTGTACACTGCCAAAACATAAGTAAACAGTATCGACAGGATTTAAGATCATGAGTTCTCAAAACAATACATATATAGCAATATATATTATAAAAGTATGGAAAGCCACAGCTGTCTTATGTGGAGCTCTGTTAATACGCTATGTTGTTTAAGTATTACTTGATGATAGTTTGTCTTTACATAATATGGTTTTGACATTACGTAATGATGTTTTGATGTAACTTAATATGGAATAGTCATTACTCAATGATATTTCAATAATACATGATATGGTTTCGTATTGACTTGATATAGTTTTGCCATTACTTGATATGGTTTTGTTATTACTCGATGTGACTTCACCATTATTTAATGTGGTTGTGTCATTGGGCAAGGTGGTTTTAACACTACTTGATCTTTTTGTGACTTAACGTAATGTAGTTGTTTAATTACATGATGTGGTTTTGCTATTTCGTAATGATGATTTGCCAATTCTTTGTATGGCTTTAACATGACGTAATGATGTTTTAAAATTTGACGATTTTACACTACATGATGTGTAAGTTACAGTACTTGATGTGGTCCTGTCATTCTTAAATGTGGTTATCTCATTAATCGATGAGGTAAAACCACGTGACCATTTCGGAAAAAATAGGATATATTTTTAGACCGATTTCCCTATGTCGTTTGCGTAATGCGCTTTGGATAAGTATCTCTATCCATTTTGAGTTAAAGTTCAAATTAAAGTTAAAGTAGTTGTTCAGAGTTATTTGGTATGAAAAAGGGGAACGGCAAACAAAATATACCCCAAAAAAATTAACAATAATTCAGACATAAGGGGGATATCCCCAAACCACTTGGTCCTGCCGTTTTTTTTCCTTAGTTCCCAAATGGAAGCAGTATTATAATGAATTCGTAAAAGATTCCAAAGAAGCCTATTTTATCTTGATCTTGAAGAATAACTCCTACACAAGTTTTAAAACAATTCATAGAGGTTTACATGTACAAATTTATCATGTCAAAATAGTTTAATTCGGTAATATCTAATGCAAAAAAAAAAACTCATATAGAAATAAGTTAATGTGGTATGATTGCCAATGAGACAACTCTCAACCACATACCAAATGACGTAGAAGATAACAACTATATGTGAATGTATGGTCTTCAACAATGAGCAAAACCCATACCAAATAGTAAGCTTTAAAAGGTCCCGAAATGAAAATGTAAAAACAATTCAAACGAGAAAGGTATGACCGGACAATTTGGACTGTGCAATGAAATTAGTTTTTAAACAACATTTTATGAATTCAATTGTTTTAATGTATATTCTTGTTTTGCATTTATTTTATTATTCTGAACTTTGTCGTAAATTTAGGCATAAGTGTTTTACACGGATTATGTGTCATAATCTTGGACAAAGGACTTAAATTCATTTACTCTATTCATTTAATTATTTATTCTCTGTAACAGTTTAGACAATAATTTACTTATACGTGTCGGACATTAATTACTCTTCTAATCTATTGTTATTTCTATTTGGCATATGTTAATCTTCTTAATCCTTTAATTGCTTGTGCTTATATATATTGTTATTGTTTGTATGTTACTTTACATTTGGTTTGGAGTTCGTTGTTCGGTCTTGCCGGACTTTTACCCGGCTATAAAGGTATGGGTGCCTATAAAGTGCGAAAAGAAATAGAAACGAAAAGAAACGAAAAGAAACGAAACGAAAAGAAACGAAAAGAAACAAAACGAAACGAAATCAAATAACGAAACGACATCAAATTACGGATCACTTTAATTAATTTTTTTTAATCTATTTAAAAACAAAACTTAAAAAAGATCATAAAATACTTAGACAAATACAATATTGTATTACTAGTGTATGTGCCTTATTGTCTTTATATATATATATATCTTAAAACTTTTGAAATTATTTGCTATTGATTTTAAAAATACTTCGTTGATTGAAATTATACTGATTTACTTTGATTGTTACCGGCACTTCAAAACTAAATATACTAATCTAGACCCAGCCTCTTTGCTTCAAACATAAATCAATCAAAAAACTGATCATGTCAGTTTGATTTACGACCTTGCTTTTCAAATCACTTTGAAGTTCCTTTGAAGTTCCATATTCCCACAGAAGGGTGTTGATCACGTGACAATTTCTTGATCTATAAAAAATCACAGTTTTTTTCCCAATTTTAAAAGAAATTGTATCAAACTAGACAATACTATTTATAAATATAATCGGCTTAATATTCAATTTGACTGATTTAAATTTTATTTCTATTTCGTTTCGTTTCTTTTCTTTTCGTTGGTTCCTATTTCGTTTCGTTTCGTTTTATGTTGATTTCGTTTCGTTTCGTTTCTTTTCGTTTCGTTTCGTTTCTTTTCGTTTCGTTTCTATTTCTTTTCGCACTTTATAGGCACCCGAAACCTATCGATATAAAAGATGAGGACGCCAACGACGGCATATGTGTTTGTTGTATCTCACTGTCGCTACATTAATGTCACAGGCTCGACATAAATCAAAAGAGTTTTATTGTATTTACAACAAATGAGACACTTTAAATCAACTCGCACTAAAGTTACAGGGA